ATTTATTGTAGAGATGAGGTCTCGCTGCCCAGGTGGGTCTCGAACCCGCGGGCTCAGGCAATCCACTCACCTCAGCCTCCCAAAGGTGTGGGATTACAGGCTGAGCCACCGCCCAGGTAATATATTTTATTTTTTAGAGCAGTTTTAGATTTATAGTAAATTAAGCAGAAAGTAAGGAAAGTTCCCATATCTGCCTCTCCCCACCACACAGTTTCTCCTAATATGAACATCTTGCATTCAGGTAGGCACTTGTTACAGTTGATGAATCTACCTTGACACATCATCATCCAAAGCCCCCGATTTATGTTAGGGCTCACTCTTGATGTTGTACGTTCTAGGGGTTTAGACAAAAGACAACGACTTGTATCCATCATTTCTATATCATACAGAGTAGTTTCAGTGCCCTAAAATCCTCTTTGCTCTACCTCTCCATCACTCACCCATCGCTAACCCCTGGTAACCACTGATTGTTTTACTATCTCCATGGTTTTGCCTTATCCTGAATGCATATGGTTGGAGTCATACAGTATATATGTAATCTTTTCCAGCTGAATGCTTTCACTTAGTGACATGAAATGTGTACCCTTCACACCACCTTCTTATTTACCAGTCTGAAGACATTGAATTTATCTGAAGCTTCAAGTCCAGTAACACTCGCCTGCAACCCCAGTTATTTCTTCCTCTGAAGATGTGCCAATGTTTACTTATCCTTGGCCTCCTCCCAGGGCAATGCCCAACACAACGTGTCTCAGCTGTCATCATTCTGAATTCTGTTTACAGTCAGCATCCTCCTTCCCTCCCTCCCTCCCTCTCTCCTTCCTCCCTCCCTTCCTCCCGTCCTTCCTTCCTTCCTTCATCTCGCTCTGTATGGTCAGCTTCATTCTTTTCTTTTCATTTTTTTTTTCATCTTTCTCTGTCACTCAGGCTGGAATGCATTGTCACTATCATGGCTTACCACAGCCTTAACCTCCTGGGTTCAGGAGATCCTTCTGCTTCAGCCTTCTAAGTAGCTGGGCCTAGCATGTGCCATCATGCCTGACTAATTTTTTTTTTTTTTTTTCAGTTGGAGTCTCACTCTGTTGCCCAGACTGGAGCGCAGTGGCCATTCCCGGTCACCGCAGCTTCGACCTGCTGGGCTCCGGCAATCCTTCCACCTCAGCCTTCCAAGTAGCTGGAACTACAGGCGCACGCTACCATGCCTGGCTAATAATTTTTTGATTTATTGTAGATATGAAGTCTCACCAAGATGCCCAGGCGGATCTCGAACCCGCGGGCTCAGGCAGTCTACTCACCTCAGCCTCCCAAAGGTGTGGGATTACAGGCTGAGCCACCGAGCCTGGCTATGCCTGACTAATTTTAAAATTTTTTGTAGAGATGAGGTCTTACTATGTTGCCTGGGCTGGTCTCAAACTGCTGGGCTCGAGCAATCCTTCTACATCAGGATCCCAAGTGCTTGGATTACAGCCATCATTCCCAGCTGACTGTCAGCATCTTTCTTCTCATCTGGCATAGACCTCCTTTCTTGACTGGCCTGCATGGATGGTTTGGCCTTCTCATTTCACACCCCTGATGGAGATGCTGCTATAGGATATTTAATATCCTTTGCCCATTTTTCAGTGTCCAGACACAACCTAGACACATATCAGTCACCCAAAGATTTCTTTCCTGTTTCTGATCCTCTGATGCCCCTTCGTTGGGCCATTGTTTGATTTGAAAAAGTTCTTCCCTCAGGGATTCTGAGATGACACACCAGAGGAACTGCAGAGTCTTGGGATGAGAACAGCATTGTGTTTGAAGGAAAAGAGTCTTTGACAAAAGGGAAACATCCTTCTAGTAATCAAGAGATTGCCAGAGAGTATAGTTAGTTCTTTGCCAAAGAAAGGATCCTTGTCTCCTTGTGGACTTAGAAAGTGAGGCATGGGAACTTGAGCAGAGGCCTTGATTGAATTAGCTATGGTGGCCATACAACCAAATGGGCAGAGTGACAAGTAAAGGGAGAATCTTGGAAGACCTGGACGAGGTTCCAGAGCTGGAAGCCTATAACACTTATTTTTAGAGGCCCAATGTCTTCAACAGGGAGGAGTCTCCATTAGGACAATAACAAGGAAGGCAGTATCAGCGCTATGGGGTACTGACAGTGCTGACACCATACAAGGCTCATGTATCTATTCATTAATGCCTCAAAGTGAACCTTGTAAGGGAAGCATCTTACTTCCGGCTTATGGCAAGGAAAACAAACCTCTGAGAGCTAAGGACCTATCTGAAGTGGCACAGCGTGAAGCCCAGTTGCAATCAGTCAGGCTGACCATGATGCTTCATGGACCACAGTGTTTTCTGGGGAGTACGTTGGATCAATGCTGGAATGCAGGCAGCTTAAAGAAATGGTAGAATTGGGCAGCCCCTTTGGGTCCCCTCGCACTGTGGAACTTTTCTGTCCTCTCAATAAATCCTGCTTTCAGGGGGAAAAAAAATAGAATTGGTGCATTAAGAATATTAAATTGAAGGTAGTGCTCCAATGGCTCACGTCTGTAATCCTAGCACTTTGGGATGCTGAGGCAGGAGGATTACTTGATCCCTGGAGTTCAAGACCATCGTAGACAATGTAGTGAGACCTTGTCTTTCCAAAAAAATAAATAAAATTATTAGCCAGGCATGGTGGTATGCACTTGTAATCTCAACTACTTGGGAAAGAACACCTGAGTCTAGGAGTTTGGGTCTGCAGTGAGCTGTAAGTGTGCCACCACACTTCAGCCTGAGTGACAGAGTGAGACCCTGACCCAGGGGGGAGAAAAAAGAAAGAAAATATTAAGTCAATGTTTGAGATACCATTATAGGATCTAGAACTGAACATAGACTAATTGAAATTTTAGCAAAAAAAACTAGTTAAGATTCTGTAATAGTTTCCTGTGGCTGCTGTGCCTGATTACCAACAGTCTGGTGGCCTAAACAATACAAATGTATTCTCTCATTGTTTTAGAGGCCAGCAGTCCAAAATCAATAACACTGAACTGAAATGAAGGTTTCTCCAGGGCTATGCTCTCTCTGGGAGCTCCAAAGAGACAATCTCTTGCTTACTATTCCATCTCCTGTTGGTTGCAGCATTCCTTGGCTTGTCTCCTTGTGGACTTCATCTTTCCAATCTTCAAATATGTTTTACTATGTCTTCACATCACCTTCTCTGTGGGTATCAAAGCTTCCTTTACTTTCCTCTTACAGGGATACTTATGATTGCATTAGGACACACCCGAATAATCAAGGATAATCTCACTATTTTAAAATCTTAATCACATCCACACGGTTCCTTTTTCCAAAAAAGGTTATATTCACAGAGTCTGGGGATTAGGACATACTTTTTTTTTTCTCAGTATATAAGGGCTTTATACCTGCAGACCTAACTATTTCTGTGGATTTCCCCTTTAATATTCACCAGTCTGCTTTTTTTTTTTTTTTTGAGTTGGAGTCTCACTCTGTTGCCCAGACTGGAGTGCAGTGGCCACTCCCAGCCACCACAGCCTCGATCTGCCGTGCTCCGGTGATCCTTCCGCCTCAGCCTTCCAAATAGCTGGAATTACAGGCACGCACTACCATGCCTGGCTAATTTTTTGACTTTGTTATAGAGATGAGGTCTTGCCTGCCCAGGCGGGTCTCGAACCCGCGGGCTCGGGCAATCCACTCACCTCAGCCTCCCAAAGGCGTGGGTTTACAGGCTGAGCCACCGAGCCTGGCTCCTCCCTGCTTATTTTTATTCCTCTGCTTTCTCTTTGGGAACTAGTCCTTGACCACCTTTGTATTATCTTCATTGGTATTTGCATTTTACCACTGGTTTCCTGTTTGCTGATCCATCCCTTCCTTTCTCATGCTTCATACAGCTTAGAATTTGTAGATTGGAAACAAACCCAGAGACACCTCTTATACTCGGTGGTCTCCTTCATTCCGCCCAACCCTTTCTGATGCTTCTCCAGTAACTCAGGTGTTTTGAATTTCTTTCAGATTGGAAGGCTACATTAGAAAAGAAAAGACTGACTTCCAATAAAGATAACACTGGGGAAGAACCATCCCACCTCATGGAAATGAAACTCTGCATTGAAGAGGAGCACACCTGGTTGGTGTCATTAAGAAAAGTGCAGGATCAGAGGGACCAACTAGGGAAACACCAGGAGAACTCTTTGAGGCAGATGGTACTCACCTCAGAGAGACTGTTTCCTCAAGGGGAACATTGTGAGCTTGAACTTGGACAACGTTATCCTCTGAGTTTAAGCCTCCTACCTCCAACATTACCTACCAGTGTGCATTTCCATAAGTTCTACCCACAAGTAAAAAAGTTGAAACAAAATTCAGTTTTCATTAATCATAAGAAAGACTGGGTTGGTCTGAAGCCCTGTGAAAACCATCAGCGAGCTAGAGCCTTCTGTCAGAGCATTTACTTGAGTAAACTTCCAAACATTGAAACAGGAAATAAAAAGCCTTATGAACACATTGTCAGTGGTGACTCTCTCAGCTGTGGTTCCTCCCTTTGTTTTCATGGCAGAATTTTTTCAGCAGAGAAAAGTGATGGCTATGAGAACTATGGAAACATTTTAAGTTACGGTGTGTGTGTAAGTGAGCACCAGCTGGTAAATTTTGGAGAAAGTCAGTATGAGTGTGACGAATGCAGAGATGCCTGTTCTGAGAGTTCGTGCCTTATACAAATGCAAAGAAATAACTCTGGAGAGGCTATCAGATGTGAGGCAGACTGTGATGCCTTCCCCATGGCCTCATCTTTTTCTGACTGTAACATCACTCAGACTGGAAAGAAGTCAAACGTGTGTAATCAGTGTGGAAAATCTTTCAGCTGTTGTTCTAAACTTGTTGTACACCGGAGAACACACACTGGGGAAAAGCCCTATGAATGTACTCGGTGTGGGAAATCTTTCAGCCAGAGCTATGACCTTGTTGTACATCAGAGGACACACACTGGAGAGAAGCCCTATGAGTGTAACCAGTGTGGGAAATCATTCACCCAGAGCTCCAAACTTATAAGGCATCAGCGAACTCACACGGGAGAAAAACCGTATAATTGTCTTGAATGTGGAAAATCCTTCAGGTGGAACTCTAATCTCATTGTACATCAGAGGATTCATACTGGAGAGAAACCTTATGAGTGTGCACACTGTGGAAAGTGCTTCAGCCAAAGCTCTGACTTCGTTGCACATAAAAGGACTCACACTGGAGAGAAGCCCTATGAATGTAACCAGTGTGGAAAATCCTTTATTCGAAGCACTCAACTTATTAGGCATCTGCGAATTCACACTGGAGAGAAGCCATACAAATGCAGTCAGTGTGATAAAGCTTTCGCTGGGAGCTCTCACCTTGTTGAGCATCAGAGAACTCATACTGGAGAAAAACCTTTTGAATGTAACCAGTGTGGGAAAGCCTTCACTGGGAGCTCTCACCTTCTTTCCCACCAGCGAATTCATTCTGGAGAGAAACCATATGAATGTAATGACTGTGGGAAATCCTTTCGGCAGCGATCTCAGCTTGTTGTGCATCAGCGGACACATACTGGAGAGAAACCCTATGGATGCAGTCATTGTGGGAAGGCTTTCAGCCAGAGGTCTCCACTCATTGTGCATCAGAGGACGCACATTGGAGAGAAGCCTTATCAGTGTAATGTGTGTGTTAAAGCCTTCAGTCAGCGATCTCGACTCATTGAACATCAAAGAACACATACAGGAGAAAAGCCCTACGAATGTATTGACTGTGGAAAAGCCTTTAATGATCGGTCAACCCTTACTAAACATGAGCGAACACACACTGGAGAGAAACCGTATGAATGTAACTATTGTGAGAAGGCCTTTAGTCAGCGGTGTCAACTTACTAGGCATCAGAGAATTCACACTGGAGAGAAACCCTATGAATGCAATGAATGTGGGAAAGCATTCAGTTATAATACATCCCTTATTCAACATGAGAAAGCTCATGGGCAGAAACTCTGAATAATCCAGATGGGAAAGTTTCCTGCCAGACCGTCTTTACTAGAAATCAGATGACCAAAGTGTGACTCTCAGTGTGGGGTCTCTTGACCATGTGCACCCGGATTACCTGGAATTGTCCTGAAACTGTATTACCATGCTCACCCCAGCCTACTGAATCAGAATCTCTGATAGTAAAATCCAGGAATCTGCAGTTCCTAAAAGAAGCACAGTGACTTATTTGCATACTGGAACTGTTGCATTTAGTTGAGAAGCTAGGAATGTGACCACTGATGAAATACTTTCAATCAGAGCCCTTAACAGGAGTTAGGAAATTTAGGGTGGAGCTGTACTCTCCAGATAATCTTTCTAGTCCAAAAAAACAACCCAAGCATAATCAGATATCATGCCCATAACATATTCCTGGAAATGATGGTGGACTGGAAGATATTGGTGTACAGCTCTGAAAATGCAAATCTCAACTCTCACATGAGGCAGTTCATGTTGAGTGATGCAGTGTGAAGCCAGTCCTCCTTGATGTATACCAGCAATTAAGAATGCAGAGGAGCCTGGGACCTGTTCCAGAATGGTTTTAAATTTGTTGCTCAGTTAGTTGTAACCAGAACTGGCAGCATATTAATATGGAAAGTACTTATCAAGTGAAGTGAAAACAGGACACAATATAGTGCGTATACTGAACATTACAACCACATAAAAACATGTACACCTGTGATTGGCTAAATAGGGCAACTCAGCAACGTCTTCACTAAAAGAAAGCAGTGTAGGCCGGGTTCGCTAGCTCAGCCTGTAATCCCAGCACTTCGGGAGGCCGAGGTGAGTGGATTGCCTGAGCCTGCGAGTTCGAGACCCACCCGGGCAACTTGGTGACCTCATCTCTACAATAAATCAAAAATTAGCCGAGTGTAGTAGTGCACGCTTGTAGTTCTGGCTACTTGGAAGCCTGAGGCAGAAGGATCGCAGAGCCAAGCAAGTCGAGGCTGTGGTGGCAGGGAGCATGCCACTGCACTCCAGTCTGGGCGACAGGGTGAGGCTCTAACTCAAAAAAAAAAAAGAAGGCGGTGTAAATCAATAGCAGTGAAGACAGTGCTAGAGGCCATGACTGCACATTTAAGCAAGATGAAAGCTGATGTGAGAGCAGCCAGAGTCAGAATGGGGAAGACTAGGATGGGAACAGGTGTGGAGAGGTTGCAGCAACAGAGGCCGTGGCCCCGAGCAGAGCCATAGACTGTTAGACAAGCAGGAAAGTGCGTTAATTAAAGATCTGTTCAGAAACTTGGACTTGTCCCCATTTTTTTTCTTGCCTCGTATTAAGTTTCTGACTGTAGGGGTAAGCACAAAGTAGAGAGTGACTTTGGGAGACTGAGGTGAGTGGATTGCATGGGCCCGCTGGTTCGAGACCCGCCTGGGCAACTTGGCAAGACCTCATCTCTACAATAAATAAAAAAATCAGCCGGGCGTGGTAGCGCATGCTACTTGGAAGGCTGATGCGGAAGGATCGCCAGAGCCCAGCAGGTCGAGGCAGCGGTGGCCGGGAGCGGCCACTGCACTCCAGTCTGAGCGACAGAGTGAGACTCCAACTCAAAAAAAAAAAAAATAGTCTAAGAAACTAGGGAGTCTGATGGATTTTCTCTGGAGCAAAAGCTGCCTTATTCTGGCATTTCAGGACTTTTGCTCTAATAATTGGTTCTTACCCTTTTCACCCTAAAGCAAAGTGTATTGGTAGACCAGCCCCACCCATTTTTGGTGTCCCCTATCTCCCTTCTGATGGCATCTTCAATATGGATGGAAGGCAAGGCGCAAAAATTGAAGAAAGCCTCCATCATGAAAGAAAGAATCTAAGATAAAACAGCTGGGTGCAGTGGCTCACACCTGTAATCCCAGCACTTTGGGAGGCAAAGGCAAGAGGATTGCCAGAGTCCAATGGTTTGAGACCAGCCTGGGCAGCATAGAGAGACACCATCTCTATAACAAATAAAAAATTAGCTTGGTGTAGTGGCGCATGTATGTGGTTCCAGCCACTTGGAAGGCTGAGGCGAAAGTCTCGCCTGAATCCTGCAGGTCGAGGCTGCAGTGGCTGTAAGTGTGCCACTGTACTGCAGCCTGGGTAACAGAAAAACCAGCCCCAAAGAACAGATATTCAGAGGAAACAAAAATGTATACTCTATCTTCCTAAGAGTGAGTCAAAAAAGGATTACAAATAAATAAGACAAGTGCAGAAGAAAAAAAAACTATAAGAAAAAGAACAGAGTCTGACATTACAAGTGAGATTTTTGAATCAATAGGTAAGAAAAAGAGAAACCCAAGTCTAAAAGGAAATTTCTAGGTCAGCAATTCCCCAGCCTTTTTGGCATTAGAGACCAGTTTTGTGGAAGACAATTTTCCATGGAGTCGGAGTGGGGGATAGTTTTGAGATAATTCAAGTACATAACATTTATTGTGCACTTTATTTCTATTATTATTACATTGTAATATTAAATGAGATAATGCAACTCACCATAAAATTAAGAGTCACAGATGAAGTGGTAAATAAAATGATGGGCAGGCCACACGTGTGGACTAAAATGTGTTGGATTCTAACTTAATTTATCTTGAAGTTTCAATTACTTTGATGTTTCTGATTACCCCCCTTTTTTGACAGTTGAGAGAAGAAACTCTTTCTCTAAAAAAAAAAATATATATTCCTTTCTTAGGTCCAAAACTATTTTCTCCTCAGAAGCTTCTGTGATCTCTTTTTAATTGCGGTGTTCTCAATTTCCTATCTGCATAGATCTTATTAATTCTGACAGTACCTGGCATGATCTAGAGCAGGGGTCCCCAACCCCTGGGCCTGCCATCAGATACAGCTGTACAATTGAAGTACATCAACTCACCACTTGTGTTTTGATATGCGTCTTCAAGTAGTTGATTTTTTATGGTCTCTGTGCAATCCAACCTCACTGCTAATGTTAATCTGTATTTGCAGCCGCTTCCCAGCTGCCTTAACTCCATGTCAGAAAAACAGGCATTAGATTCTCATAAGGAGCTCTCAACCTAGATCCTTCGCATGTGCAGTTCACAGTAGGGTTTGCACTCCTATGAGAATCTAACACTGCCACTGATCTGACAGAAGGTGAAGCTCAGGTGGTAATGCCAACGATGGGGAGCAGTAGTAGATACAGATGAATTTTGCTCACTCACCCACCGTTCACCTCCTGCTGTATGGCCCATTTCCTAACAGGCCAGACTGGTACTGGTCCATGGCCCCAGGGGCTAAGGACCCCTTCTCTAGGTCATGTCAAGTACTCAGAATTAAGATCTATGCATCATAGGAAATTGAGAACACCACAGTTAAAAACAGATCACGGTCGAGCTCGGTGGCTCAGCCTGTGATCCCAGTACTTTGGGAGTCCAAGGCGAGTGGATTGCCTGAGCCCGCAGGATTGAGACCAGCCTGGGCAACTTGCAAGACCTCATCTCTACAATAAAATAAAGAATAGCCAGGCGTGGTAGCATACGTCTGTAGTTCTGGCTACTCAGAAAGCTGAGGCAGAAGGATCACTGGAGCCCAGAAGGTTGATGCTGGGGTGGTCATGAACATGTGTGCCACTGTACTCCAGCCAGGGCAAAGGAGTGAGACTCCAACTCAAAAAAAAAAAAAAATCACAAACGTTTCTCAAGGAGAAAAATAGTTTTGGACCTAACTAAGAAAGGAATATGATTTTTTTTAAAAAAAAGAATGTTTCTTCTCCCAAATTTCAAAAAGGAAATCGGACACCTCAACTGTACAAAACAGTTTCAGTTCAAATGTAAAGTAAATGTTAGAAATGAGTGTTCACTTGACCCTGATGCTAGTAATTCTTCCTGGAGGAGGCAAAGGGCTTGTGAAAATAGAATGAAAGAGGTTGAAATGCAATCAGATTGTGTTGATTGGCTCTGCAGTGAACAGTATTTACATAGATATAAACAGTAGGTATTGGCTTATAACTTTTAGGGAAGAAACAGATGGCTGTGACCTGATGACTTCATAGTAGCAGTAGGGTAGAATATCGTCGTTAGTTCAGTCACTGACAGCAGCAGTATAGCCTGCAGATTTGAAGACAGTTGATAGGCAAAGAGAAGTAAAGGAGAGAAGGACTTGTCCTGTATCATTGTTGTAGGAAGTATGCTATTAAATATGATATGTAAGGGTACTTAGGAGACCACAATTGGAGCTCAAAATGGTGACATGACAAAATTTGGACGTAGATGGAAGAATGTCAGTGTGAGTCATCTATCAGAGCAGTAAGTCAGTAAAGTCTAAAGGTGATCAAAGATCAGAGGTAGCCTCAAGAACGAGAAAAGATGGTTAAAAGTGACTGAGGGGATGGATGACTTGGGTCGGATGGGGCAGGAAATGACTGTTTTCCTAAACCTTTAGCATTTCATTCCCTGGTGTATATTTATTTGAGTAACTCTAACAAGTTATTTCAAGTGGGTATCTATAGGTGAGAGAAGCAAGGTAGTTGAGGACATCTGCATTTGATTTGTGGGATTATGTATGATTTTCCTACTTTTGATTCATTGTTGCTGTAGCCTATAGGTGAGAGAAGCAGGGTACTTGAGGATGTCAGTGTTTGATTTGTGGGATTATGTATGGTTTTCCTACTTTTGATTCATTGTTGCCGTATAGTAATTTGACAATTAAAAAAAATCAAGCAAGAGCAAACAAAATATGTCATACTCTTCTATTTGAGTCTTCTATTTCCAGTTTGAGTTGATTTCAGCAGGGCAAGAAGGGTCCTCTTCTTAGAATCCCCTGGAATCAAAGGGAGTAGCTTAGTCCTTGAAGACTTGATTTTCCAGAGGTCATCACGAGGAAGTCAGTGGGTCCCAGGGAGTGTGGACTGAGAAGGCACTGGTATCCTGGGATGACTGGGTGGCATCCCTTCTCAAGGGCAAGGCAGATCTGAATTGGCATAGCTGTCAAGTACTGAATGTACTTCCCATGGTCACTCTGGACTGTTGTTATCTGGTATCTTTTCATA